ATTAGGGCTGCACGATAAATCGAAATGGAATCGAGTTCGCGATTCGACAGAAGCTGCGATTGTCATGCGTATCTTTCAGTGAAGCACGGTTCTGTGATCAGCAGTAAATCTCCATCCAAAGGCCAGAGGGCGCTCTCGCGCTGAAACTCCAAATACGCCTCGCAGACGAAACCCAGGAAATGCCTATAGCGGTAGCTGGATAAACAGAAGATTTAACTGCTTTTATTGATTCAACGTGACTAATAAACACACGACTATGGCAATATACGGTTTATCTGAGTTCTTATTATTATAATTTTCATTCAAATAAAGTATATTTATAATGCAATGCCTTTATCACTGCTTAGAATACTATGAAATATTTTGCGTGCCTTATTCTGTGTAAGAAGCCACATCTCACAGAAGGGTTTATTTCAAACACTCGACTGACGTTATGAAGTGAGTTTGGAGTAAAAATATGTTATTAAATGTGGTATTTTCACATGCTTTCAGATGGAGCAGCATTTACTTCACAGAGCCGTAGTTCACTGAGAAGCTATGCAAACAGCTGTCATTATCGCGAACGATTTCTTCGATTTCATAATCGCGCAATAAAATCGTCTGCGATTTTTTTTGGCGTAACTTGTCAGTGAACTACGGCTCTGTGTAGTAAATGCTGCTCCATCTGAAAGCACGTGAAAATACCACATTTAATAACATGTTTTTACTCACTTCATAACGTCAGTCGAGAGTTTGAAATAAATCCTTCTGTGAGATGATGTGGCTTCTTAAACAGAATAAGGCACGCCACATATTTCATAGTATTCTATGCAGTGATAAAGGCTATGTCGATTAGCATTGCATTATTGTATACTTTATTATAATGAAAATATAATAATTATAATAAGAACTCAGATAAATCATATATTGTCGTAGTCGTGTGTTTATTAGTCACGTTGAATCAATGAAAGCAGTTAAATCTTCTGTTTATTCAGCTGCAGCGATAGGGATTTCCTGGGTTTCTTCTGGGGGCCTATTTAGAGTTTCTCTGGCCTTCGGATGGAGATTTACTACTGATCACAGAACCGTGCTTCACTGACAAGATGCGCATGACAATGGTGATTTATCGTGCACCCCTAGCGTGTAAGCAGTTGAAAAAACTGTAATACCGGTTTTGGCACCCATCCCTACAGGTGACGGCACACGAAGGCCAGCCGGTGTCGTTTCTGTGCTGCGCCGAAGGCGAACCGACTCCGGCCATCATCTGGATTTCCCCGCAGAGACGGAGGATCACTTCCAAAAGCAACGGCAGGATTACGGTTCTCCCCGGTGGGACGCTGGAGATCCGTTACGCGCAGGTGACAGACAGCGGCACGTACATCTGCATCGCCAGCAACGCGGGCGGCAACGACACCTACTTCGCCACGCTGACCGTCAAGGGCCAGCCTTCGGATTCGGCGCTCTTCGCCAACCGCTCGCTGTACACGGTGGACTTCAATGACACCGGGCTCAACAGCACGCGTGTTTTCCTCAAGTTCACGCTGGATTTAACCACCATCCTGGTGTCCACGGCCATGGGCTGCATCACTTTCCTGGGCGTGGTGCTCTTCTGCTTCCTGCTGCTGTTTGTGTGGAGCCGCGGACGAGGACAGCGCAAGAACAACTTCACCGTGGAGTATTCGTTCAGGAAGACCGTGGGACCCGCCACCACCAGCGCGTCCGGAGGCACGCGCAAGTTCAACATGAGGATGATATGAAACCACGCAGCCAGGGGCCCCCTGGGAGAAGCATAGACGCCCAACGCTAACACACACAGTGCTGAATCACAGAAATACACGTGCCGCATGATCGCAGAAACGTGACGACCTCGCAGTGTTATTTCCGTACTGTTAATATAGGATTATATATTTATGAACTTTTCATTTTGCTTTTGATTAGATTTTTATATTTTCTGTTTTTATTTTAATTTTAGTTATAGTAATTTTGCTGTAGGCTTTTTGTCTGTTTTATTTATTTATTTATTAGTCAGTTTTATATTAGTAATAAAGAGAGAGAGAATTTTTTTATATTTTCCATTCTAGTCATTTTTGTAGTTTTTTTTTTCCAGTTTTTATTTTTTCAGTAGTTATTTTTAGGTAGATTAAGTATTTCAACTGAACAAAAAAATATATTTTGATATATATATTTTCCAGTTTAAATTATTAAACTGCTAAAACTGAAATGGTTTTTATTTTAAATTCTGTTTTCATTTTGATTTTAGTTCAAGTTTAAATAAATCCGCTTTAAAAAAATTTTTTTTTTAATTAATATAGCGAGGTAATTATCACTATTGTCTATATTATTATCTCTTTATTATTATAATAATAACAACAACAACAACAACAACAACAACAATAATAATAGAGAGAAATTTTAGTTGGTTTTAGTAATTTTATTGTTTGTTTTAATCTTTATTTGTTTTTATCTGTATTTTTCTTGTACATCAGAAATGTTTTGTTTCAGTTCATGTACTTTATTAAATAATCTTAGTTAACAATAATAACACTGCGACCTTGTTCTCACAGCCTTTCTGCTGCAGCTGCTGGTTAAACAATACAGTAACAAATAGTGACTTTTTTGCACTTTTTGGAAACCCCAGATCTGCATTTAATAATAAGTTTCCTTTCAATACTCGTTTTATGCACAGTTGACTGGTAAACCGGTTTCCCTTCACAGAGAAAATTACAATTCGAGAAACAGCCACAATGTCATCTTCGGATGACTTATAAAAATTAATGGTATGTAAATTTGCTCTTTAATAATTTAGACGCAAATAAAGCCGAGGCGATATCCATAATGCCCTTTAATGCAAAGCCCACTTCCACCAAACCACAGCTGAGACGAGGAACTAAATTACACCTGAATTCACAAATTGTAATATGTTTGTTCTGCATCGAACAAACAAACATGCAAACCTGCATAAAACGAGTCATTCCAGCATTACTGGTTCTGCGATGAGCACCTGTGTGAGTTGGGACAAATGCACCGGCCGCGCCGCCGTCAGCCAGAAAACGCTGCGTTTAGGAAGCCCAGCTTTGTGTTCTGGCTGCATGGCTTTTGCTTTAATGAGCCTGGACCGGACTGACGAGGGGTCGCTTACCCACAATCCCCCTCGTCAGCCTCGGTCCATGCACACGCCAACAACCCGCTGGCCTTCATGGGGGGAGGCTGCATCAGTGTCGGATCGGCTAGATGTCAGGAACGCTGAGAAACACACACACACACACACACATACACACACACACACACTAGAGCCATATATTTACATGAGGTTTACAGCAATAGTGCATTATCTTCTGTTTGCAATAACTGCATATTTTATTTTTCTACTCAGACTCATTTATGCATTTATGACTAATAAGTGCATTTATGCACAATTAAGATGCATTTGTTTATTCATTGGCTTCACTGTGAATTCATTTTCTGTTTCACATGCACTAATAGCTATACAGTGGAATTGCACATTATCATTGATATAGATATTTATGAACTTTTCATTTTGCTTTTGATTAGATTTTTATATTTTCTGTTTTTATTTTAATTTTAGTTATAGTAATTTTGCTGTAGGCTTTTTGTCTGTTTTATTTATTTATTTATTAGTCAGTTTTATATTAGTAATAAAGAGAGAGAGAATTTTTTTATATTTTCCATTCTAGTCATTTTTGTAGTTTTTTTTTTCCAGTTTTTATTTTTTCAGTAGTTATTTTTAGGTAGATTAAGTATTTCAACTGAACAAAAAAATTTATTTTGATATATATATTTTCCAGTTTAAATTATTAAACTGCTAAAACTGAAATGGTTTTTATTTAAAATTCTGTTTTCATTTTGATTTTAGTTCAAGTTTAAATAAATCCGCTTTAAAAAAAAATTTTTTTTATTAATATAGCGAGGTAATTATCACTATTGTCTATATTATTATCTCTTTATTATTCTACTCAGACTCATTTATGCATTTATGACTAATAAGTGCATTTATGCACAATTAAGATGCATTTGTTTATTCATTGGCTTCACTGTGAATTCATTTTCTGTTTCACATGCACTAATAGCTATACAGTGGAATTGCACATTATCATTGATATAGACTCCATAATGCACACACTGATATGATGCATGGTTTTCTCTCGTCCTGACGCTCTTTGCTTTTGGCGGCCGGTGTGTGAACGTCTCTGCTTCTCCTGCCCAGTCTGAACCCCCATGTCATTTCCCATCATCCCCCCCGACTGGGTCTCAATGAGGGAGGGTCCCTGGCTGGTGACCACGGATGCACATAAAATCAAGTCGCCCATCTAGTCCATGTGTCTTTGACTGTAGAGGGCATTCTGTGTTTATTATATTTACATCATTTGTTTATAATGTGTTTTTGTACTACTTTGAATTGTTTCTTTTCTTTAGTGTTTTAAACAGAAACAACAGAATCTGTTCTCAACACCACAGCCGCTCAACGTGGAGTGTTTCTGAGAAAACGCATTGTTAAATTTGAACAGACTGAGAACCAGAATGATTAGGACTAACTTGTTCTGTGCATCATGCACGTCTATTAACCGGCCGCTGGTGTTGAAAACAGATTAGTTAACCAATAAGCAACAAGAGCCATAAATGAAGAATGTTCTAACTTAAACCCACCTGTCCTGGAGTGTGTGTGCAATATGACAAATACAGTCAAATCTGCTGGATATCACCTTCATGATGCCATTAACTTGTGGGCATTGGTATATTCTACTAAACTAAATCCATAAAAAATAATTTTGTTACTTAAAATAAACATGAATCGAAAAAAATCTATAAAAACTAAAACATTTTTAACTAGTTGCCAAGGCAATACTTTTCATTTAGTCTAAATTGATAACTAAAACTGAAATAAAAATGATTAAAAACTATAGACATGTTTTGAAAACAAACAAAAAAACAATAAAAATTTGTTTAAAATTAAAACAAATTTACACAACAAAATTGCCAAAACTTTAGCAAAAAATTAAGATAAAAAATATAAGAACTAATTCAAAATATTAATGAAAACTATAATTAGTGTCTTCAATTGGAACAATTTTTAACTTTAAACACAACCCAATGCAATGCAAAATTCAGGTAAAAGACCTGCAAAGAAAATTACTTCATATTAATACAGTAAATTGCCCTATTTTTACTTCTTTTTTTTATCAGACGGTTTGTCAGAGGCTTTGAGTAGAAAGCTGAATGTTTGATGCTTCATTGAGCTTGACTTACATAATCGACTGAGAGCAGAGACTCACTCACAGCCCTGGAGCGACACTGGTTATGCTTTTGCTAACAGTAGGCATAGACTATGCTCTGTTCAACAATCTAGTGAACTAAATAGGCACCTAGACAACTACACAGGACCTTTTAAAAAATCTGTTTTTAAATGGAAGGAAGTAATATAGTATATATGCATAAGAAAATTTGGAAAAGGGAACACACACACACACACACATATATATATATATATATATACCAGAATTAAGAATCTCAATTTTATGTGTATAGATTCAAATCTGCAAACCATCTATATAACTATATATATATAGAGTTATATAGATGGTTTTTGCATATTTGAATCTATACACATAAAATTGAGATTCTTAAATTTAAATAAATTCCTACACTCTTACCAGCACTCACACACATCATCAACACACACTCGGGTAACCCCACTGCTCAAAAAACCTACATTAAACACTTCACTTACAGATAGCTACAGACCTGTCTCTCTCCTTCCATTCATAGCGAAAACCCTCGAACGAGTTGTTTTCAACCAGGTATCTATCTGCTGCTTTTGACACTGTCAATCATCAGATCCTCCTGTCTGCCCTCTCATCACTGGGCATCACAGGGATTCCACTTCGCTGGTTTGAATCCTATCTCACTGGTAGGTCTTTCAGGGTGTCCTGGGGAGGGGAGGTATCCAAAGCACATCAACTGGTCACTGGGGTTCCTCAGGGATCAGTTCTTGGACCCCTCCTCTTCTCCATATACACAACATCACTGGGTCCCATCACACAGGCACATGGTTTCTCCTACCTATACCTACTATGCTGATGACACACAGCTCTATCTCTCATTTCAACCAGATGATCCAACAGTAGCTGCACGGATCTCAGGCTGCCTGGCGGACATCTCGGCATGGATGAAAGAACATCACCTACAGCTCAACCTGGCAAAGACTGAGCTTCTTGTCTT